CACCTGAAAATAAATCCCTAGAGAATAAATCAATTAAACTTATTTATTCTTAGTTTTGTTTTTACATTTTTAGATAATTTTATCTAAAAAAAAACTGGTGGTGTCTTGTGAAGTGTTATCGGCTAAGCTCTAGAATAATCTTCGAAATATTCTTTTTACCAATTAATAGCAGAATAGACAATCGAAAAAGTAATGTAAGCTTAACGTACACATACACAGGAATGGAATAGTTGTTTTACTCATGAGATAAGTCCCTGTGAAATGTAATCCAATTGAACTTACTTTTTTAGCTATATATATATATATATATATATATATATATATATATATATATATATGTATCTGAAACACTGGCGATATCCTAAAAATGTTATGGGCGCTGATTCAAAACCCCTTTAAAGAGGAATGTAGGCGAAATATCAGCTATTTTTACAACTATCTCAACGATAGGCCTGCTTATTACGATCTATCTCCATATTAACCCCCACCTTGTGTCATACTCTAGTGTCACTCTGGGAAGTTGATTGCGAAAATTTCATGGCCGAGGGACTACTTTTTTTTCAGTTTAAAGGATGTGTTAATAAAGATGGCTTAGGTGTAACATCGAAATGTTTCAGAACAGTCTCAATCGTAGACTGTGTGCTCGTCCCGAGGACATTTGTAACTGCCCCACCCTGGAAGGATAACAGACTAAGTACCAAGATGGTTTTATTGGACTTCTTATATTTCTACAAATAAGTTTTTTGGTCCTGCATTCTCATATAATAATAATAATAATAATAATAATAATAATAATAATAATAATAAAAAAAGTAACATTCAAGAAAGGTAGAATTACAGAAACAATAGATTTAGATTTTGTCACAAAGATTAGGGAACTAGAGCATGATGAAGCTTATAAGTACCTAGGAATTAGCGAGGGAGATGGCATACAACATTCCAAAATGAAGGAAAAAATAAGAAAGGAGTAATATAGGCGTGGTACTAAATACCGAGCTAAACTCAAAAAACAGAATATCAGCCATTGGCTGTCCCTGTGGTGCAATGCAGCTTTAATGTCCTTAACGGGACCATAGCTGAAATTAAGCGAATGGACGTCAGAACGAGAATACTTCTCACTTGCTACCGCATGCATCATCCCAAAGCTGATGTTGATCGTCTGTATGTGCCCAGGTCCGAAGGAGGCAGAGAATTAGTTCAACTAGAACTGTCCTACAAAACTACAACAATTGTCCTCCAAAGATACTTGGAAACTACAGAAGACTGGATGATCGTATGCGTCAAGGAAGATGAAAGTAGTAATCCAACAAATTCAAAATGGAGTTTCAAATTGGCGCAGAAATGCAAGTACAGCACAATGCACCGACTGAAACTGCAAAATATTTTAAAAGACAGCAAAGACAAATACAAACGACCAGATACAGAAACAATGGCAAGATAAACCGCTTCATGGCCAATACTCTGCCCGTGCCAAACAAGCTGACGTAGACAAAACCCGTACCCATCAGTGGCAACGTAGTACAGGGTTGAAAGCTGAAACTGAAGGTTTTATCCTTGCTGCATAGGACCAATGCTTGTTAACTAGGAATTATCAAGCACATATACTAAAATATTGTGTCAGCCCAAAATGCAGATACTGTGATAAATATCCAGAAACGATTGATCATCTTGTATCAGGTTGCACGATGTTGGCACCCACTGAATATAAAACCCGACATGACAGAGTGGGCCAATATCTGCACTGGAAAATCTGCAACTTGTACGGGAAGGAAACTGAAAGAAACTGGTATGAACACCACCCAGACCCGGTTACTGAGATAGGACCTGTTACAATTCAATGGCACTACACAGTACACACTGACAGAACAATCAAAGCTAACCGTCCAGACATTGTTATTAGAAGCCGCAAACTAAAAAGTGCCTCCTTATTGATATGGCAGTCCCTGCTGACTGCAATGTATCTTTGAAGATATTCAAAAAGCTATCAAAATACAAGGACCTTGAAATAGAAATTTCGAAAATGTGGCATATGGGAACATCATCAATCCGTGTTGTAGATGGAGCCCTAGGACTGGTTGGAAAAGATTCTAGTAGACTAATTGAAGGGATTCCTGAAAGTCCATGCCTCAAAGAGATACAAAAAAAAAATGTTCTGACAAGTACAGCCCACACTTTACGAAGGACTTTATGTAATATTTTTTTGTCAGTGGAAAGTGTCATGATGCCATTTCTAACCTTAGGTCCCTGGGCGGTACCCGGAAAGAAATGTGTAAACACCAGAAATCAAAGAAAATAAAAATAATGATAATATCAAAAACAGAAAAGATAAAAGTTTGCACAGTGACATTAGCGTAGCAAGTGATAAAAAAAAACCTGCGATGGTCTTTGAAAAACTCAACAAATACAAAAACCTGGAGAAGGAAACATAAAAAAATTAGACACTTAAAAGCTAAAACTGTTCTTATTGAGATTGTTGATTAGGGGCTTTACCAAGAAAGGAATTTAGAACAAAACAAAATCTTTGCTGTATCATTTCTCCAAGAAATTTCCAAAATAGTTCTAAGAAAAATAGACCGTATCGCGAAGAGTTTTGTCCATTTAAATTTTGTTTCTTTGTTAATACTTGTCTTTTCTTTAATTAAATGGAACCAAAAAAATCATGTCCTTCCCTTTCTCTAGTCCATTTTTAGGACCCGACATCGTATTATAAAACAAATGAAATGTGAAAAAGTATTCAAAACAATCAGCAATGTTTTTTTTAAATCATACTTATTATAAAACCCAGGTTGTGCGCGCGCGCGTGTGTGTGTGTGTGTGTCTGTTCGTTTATATATTCGATCGGATTTCCTACATTTTTAAATCGATTTTCACAAAACTTCACAGGACTACGTAAAATTACCCGGCGGTGGTTCTGACAGCGCCAAAAATTGAAAAACACAATTGTTTTTGCACGAAATTAATTTGAAAAAGCGATTAAGAGGCATTAATGAAAGGGGGACAACTCATATCGAGTTATACTTATTATAAAACCCAGGTTGGTTGTTTTTTTTTGTGTGTGTGTGTGTTCGTTTATATATATTGGATCAAATTTCCTACATTTTTCAACCGATTTCAACAAAACTTCACTTTTTTTTTGGCAGGTAGTGCTTCTTATTGTCTTGCACACTTTTCCTTTATTTTTATATTCAGAATGCTTTAAAAATTCCATTTACAAGACAATTGTTTATAATAAAATTCTATTCAATCGATAGACTCATAACGATTGAAAACAATGTTTTTGTTTGAGTTTGGCTTTGACCAATTAAAAAATAAAAATAAAAAACTAATTAAGACATGTGTGTCTGTCAACCTTAAACAATAATCTTTGTCAATTTTATTTTTCAGTCTTTATGATGCTCAATACTTGATCTATCTCTTACTGTTACATCCCCGGGCAACGCCGTGCTCTACTGCTAGTAAAAAATAAAGCTTCAGCTATTGTAATATCTCATTAAACTTTGAAAGTGTAACATATATACAATGTAACAAATGAACAAATGCTAACAGTTATCTTCATCTGAAAACTAAATAATAATCTAAACATCATAATCTCCTGTCCGCTAATTAAGAGCAGAATAAATACACAACTGTAATACAATGAAAACATAACGTATATATGCAGGAACGCAATATGAAAATGACGACCGTGGCAGCACGAACCCTCCGTGCCACCTACGCGACATCAGCTCATCCTCATTTGATTCTTATTAACGAGAAAGTTCAGTTCTGCGTTTTCCCCAGAAATTACGATGTGGATACAAATTCTCGAACAGTTGTTTCCTCGATGAATACAACCCTAATCATTTCAAGTCTAGCGCCAACCGTTATCTATCCAATATATTCGCATATGAACCACTTACTGTTCCCTTGTACGTCTTTACAACAACCTTATTCAGTAACTCATACCCCGAGCGAAAAAGTGAACTCACCCGGACGTGGATAAATGTGAGAACGAAACGTGGGACAAGGGTAGAGAGCAAAACGAATGTTTTTGTTAATACTCTGCTTGTCGACCTCTCTGCCTCCGGGCAGGGATGAACCCAGACAAGACTATGTCAAATAGCAGAGTTTCGTCTGCGGAGATAGACGGCTACGTCGTGTATACGAGGTCTAAGTGCAACCTTTCCCAAGCCTACCGCCTCAGTCGGCCCACGTTAAAAAATGGCTTTGTTCCACATCCTTCCGTGTGGGGAGGTCTTGGGTAAATACAGAGACAGTAAAAGCCCTATTTCGCGGTCGTCCGAAAAGATACAAGGGTAATTTGCAGCTGGACTTACTCTACGAGTGACTGAACTCAACTAAGTAACAGGCAGTAAGCCTCTACCGTCATTTTTTCTTTAGCCTTGTGTTAGAGGAACAATAACAAGAATAAAATTATAGATTACGATCAGTTTAATATAAATAAATGCTTTGCATATTATAATATACTGTCTACCATTTCATAGAATAGACTGAAAATGGAATAATATATATATATATATATATATATATATATATATATATATATATATATATATATATATATATATATATATAGGAGAGAGAGATAGGGAGTGAGCAAATTTACAGAGTCTAAAACAAACAGACCGATATTATTGATCGTCGTTATTTAAAAATAACCTTCTGAATATTATATCTTATTTCCAACTTCATAAATTACAGATTGGATCAGATGATGAAAGCGTAAAGCGTGCGCATGCGTGCCTGTGTATTAATGTTTATAGATTAACTTCATTATTTTGAGACTTAAAAGAAAAGGTTTTCTTAACAGCCAAAAAAAAAAAAAAATTCTAACAATTATCGTTTTTTTTTCTATTTCCTTTGAGTTTCTAATACGTGGGCTATGTAAATCATATCTGTCGTCCGATAAAAGAACATTGTGTCTCGGGCGAATATATATTTGGTGTCGGGTCTCAAGTCGAGTCAATGGCTTTAGAGTTGTCTCCCTTTGTGAGAGAACCTTATCTGGACAGACTGTATTTGGTGTTTTTAGCCATTGATAGACTGCCTATCAGGACGGGTAGAGAGAGAGGGGGGGAGAATAAAGAGAGGAGTAAATTAAAAAGAAAGCGAGAGAGAGAGAGAGAGAGAGAGAGCGAGGGAGAGAAGAGAGATAATTTAGAATTTATAAGTCGGTTGAAAAATGGGTAAAGGCAAGATGAAGATGAAAAGAGAGTAAGAGAAAGGAAAAGTGAAGCGGAAAGAAAAAAAGAGCTGAAAAAAGAAGCGACAAAAGAGGGAGAAAGAGGGTTAGAGAGTGAGGGACAATAAAGAGAGGAGTAAATTAAAAAGAAAGCGATAGAAAGTGAGATAATTTAAAGTCTATAAGTGGATTGAAAAAGAGAAAAGGCAAGATGAGGAGTTTGTAAGAGAAAGGAAAATGGAAACAGAGAGAGAGAAAAAAGAGCAGATAAAAAGAAGATGCAAGAGAGAAAAAGAAAGAGAGATGGCGAGAGAAAGTGAGGCAAAGCGATTTTCCCATGCGATAAATAGTTATGGCATTTATTTTTTTATTATCTTAATTTCTTCTCTGAACCTTATTCCCACCTTATTTCCATTTTTCTTCTGCCTCCAGCAGGAAGGCAATTCCTTCTCTTTGTTGAACTGTTTTTTTCCCGGTACTCTTATCATCATGCTGATAAGCCCTGTGTTTTTTTTTAATGCAAATATCATAAATAATTTGCCTCAAACTCAAGTGAACTTTCACCATCAAGAACTCAAAGTGTTCTACAGAATTATATTCAACTAGTTCATTTGAATAATAAAAAAAACGCTGGAAAATAAAACCTGCGAATAAATAAAAAAATGCATAGAAAGAAAAAAGCTTGAGTCACACCAAAAGACGTAACCGATGTAGGAGAAAAATACAACCCTTGGCAAATGTATTTCATATTGAAATTCACTAAACGTCTCGGCGTCAGCAAGATAGTCTGCTTCACTATTATTAATAAGTTTGATCCTCATTGAATGTCCTATAATTGTGGACTTGTATCACAATGATTTTTAATAACTCTATTATTTAACAAAGCTAGTCTGAGTGAAAAGCCTAAGTTTAATAAATAAGAGAGCCTTGGGGTGAGTACATGGTTAACGAGCTAGTCTAGTTGATCAGATGTGACTACTGAGTAGTCACGTCGACTCTCACTCTGTATCCCATACTTGTTGCTTTTTTCTCAAAGCTAAACTGAGGTGGAGTTCATCGTGACTAACCAATAGAATTGTACAACATTAATTATAATTTCGGTACGTACTGAGTGCATCATATTTGTGACCTTGTGCTAAACTAGGCAATATTTAGTAAACGATATTTATAAAGCTGGACTAAATCTGATAGAAATCAAAACAAATATAGGGAAGAAACTTCGAAAATAGATGTGTGTATAGACTAATGGCAACCGGCATGAATAGGAATAGATTAGATCATCTACCGTCTGATCTACACCTCTCCTACCTCTTTTGAACAGGAGTAGAGGTTTATCCTTTGTTTCCTGTTCAGGATTCGGTTTCAGGTTCCATCTAAAGTATACTTCAGCTCTTTATTCTTAACACTCGTCCTTTCCTACGGTAATATAACTGCACACAATTACCTTCTACCTTGAGTGGCTCTTGGGTCTAGTATTGGGCAAATATTAATAAAAAGCTCCCCAACAACAAAAAAACATAGATATTGGAAACGGCGTGGCAAGTTCAAAGTCAGGTTAAGTTCGTTGTGTTCAGTTTCACACAAATACTGTTGGGGAAGTCATGAAACTTTATCTTCCCATGATGCAATGGACTAAATAGAAGGACAGAGTAGGCTGTCCAGAGATACTCACTCTCGGAGAAAGACAAATATTTTCAAAGTTTTCATTTTCTTTTGTCCATTCCGCTAGGAATTAGTAGAAATAATATTTAGAACATTATTCTGAAGATGGGTAGTTAATCCTTTCCGGTCATTCTCGCAATAATTTTATATAAAAAAATAAATAAAAAACATGAAACTTTAATAAGCTTAACGTCACCAGAAACTAATTTCATAGGAATGTAACTTTCATTCGGTTACGCCTGCTATTTTATATAGAGGTAATAAAATTTAAAAACGAATTGACATTGAACAATACACGATGCATATTAAGCATATTTTCTAAAAAATAATAAGCAAAATCAGGGGTGCGTATTATGCACAGCTAAAATTTAAAAAAATAGCTGTTAAAAAAATAAGAATTATCATAAAACTAAATTAGAATAATATTATTCTATGTTTAAAACCATTTTTTAAAATAACAGTAGGAAACGCTGGCCGTAATGAAATTGGAGAGGTACGATTTATAGGGTTTGGTTACCAAACAAGGGGTGCGTATTATGCATGAGTAGAAGCATTTTCCCAGACTTTCAGCACAATTTTAGGTGTGGTTATTATGGATGAAGGCGTATTATACATGGGGAATTACGGTATAAATATATATATATATATATATATATATATATATATATATATATTTAATAATAATAAAAAATAAAAAGAAGCATTTTCTCACGTTTTCAGCACAATTTTAGATGTGCGTATTATGGATGAAGGCGTATTATACATGGGGAATACGGTGTTTGACAAAAATTTCAAAAAACTTTAAGCAAGTTTTTATTATGAAACTGTTTACATAATTAATCCCAATCATTAATGAATAAGTAATAAAAAATTCTATTTCTAAGTTTTATAATTAGTAGATTATAAGTAAATTTTGGTAAGCTCTGTTTGTTGATCGTTGAGTACAAAAACACGAACCGAAATCTAGAAATAGCTTCATATTTTTAATAAAATATAATACCTTTCTCATCTCAAAAACGTCTAAAAACTAAACATATCACAAAATTGATTTGAGATAATTATCAAACATTATTTGTCATATTCGTCAAACGCAGTTCATCTCTAATTTCAAAATCTTTTGAACAAGTGATTGTCGACCAAATCCCGTAAAAAAACAAAAAAAAAAAAAAACATAACTACTGAAAGAACGGCATCGACATTTAGGTTAATTTATAACGGGGGCGGGGGGTAAAGGCATTAAGAAGATCAATTTTTGGTGGTTGAGGTTTCCTTAAAGGCCAAAAGGCCTAATAGCAGAAATATATCAATAAGATGATAATAATAGTCCCAATGTAATATGTATCGAATTATGGAATATATATATATATAATTCTCGGTAGTGGATGCGCACTGCTGATGAGTCCCAAATATATGACGAAACGGCCGTCCAGTGCTTTCTGCATTCTGTTGAGGTTTCTTTCGGGCTCGATGAATTACTTAATTATAATTATCAAATCCTCTTAATAATTTCTATCATTTGTATATCATTGCTTGAACCGGCTTCTTATGCTCTAGAGTGAGCGGCTTGGTGATAGTAGTCGTGGCTCCTGGGGGCACAGTCCTATGTTTAGAGGGAATCTCAGTTGAGTTCCACGACGGAATATGTGAGCGAGCGTCGCTATATTGAGTTTAATTTACTACCTCTTCATCACCGAGGCCGGTTGAAACAGTTGCTATAACGTTTGCTTGATGACTTAACTGTCCGGGTTTCAAGCATGTATAACCCACACCTAACGTCTAAACTACATTTTTTTAGAGGCTGTCGATATTTCTGAGATGAGGTATTATGTACATTATTTACATTATTCGGACTATTGTCCTCATCTTTGTCGCCATATTTACCACAACGTTTCAAGGACACATGGATAAAGGCGTTCGTTAGATCCAGTGACAGGACCCAAAGAGTGTGAATTCAATACCCGGTTAAGGCAGTGGAGAACTTTCAGAGGGAAATTAACAAGATAACTGCTAACTTACATCCATCAAAACATGGCACGTGGAACTAGAACAGTCTACCCTAGTGAGCGAAATAAAGGGTTCAATTCGACATTCTAGCCACCTGTGAATTGAGCGTGCCAAATTATTAGAAAGGTTTAATCAAACAAATAATAACAGATACAAACAAAGGCACAGTTTTAAACAAATTAATAGGGAATGTGCTTTCCCTGTTTTGAAATGACTTGAAAAAATCGACGATCCATAGAATTTGTCAATTGTATGATGTCATCTGCTGTAATGCTGCGAGATATGTCCAGAATTGCTTCCCACAACTCACCGTTGCTCCTGTCTTCGCTTCATGATGCTCCAAAGGTTTTCGATTGGGTTCAAATCCGGAGAATTTGCTGGCTACTTCATTTTTCGAGGTCCATCAAAGCCTAACTGTTTCAAATATTCATTTTTTTGTAAGCAGCATGTGAGGGAGCATTATCTTGCATAAAAAAAACAATGGCCCTTCTGAAGGCAACTCTTTGCCTTTTCATCCACGGTTCAAGATGCTCCTTCATAAAGGCTATTTATGCATCAGCAGTCATTTTGACGCCATCTGGTACTCTCCATGGGCCCACTAATGTGTTTCCAATAATACCACCCCAGATCATTATGCCTCCAGTTGGCGTCTCAAACACTGATGGGTATTCTTTCCGTTCATTACCCAGCCTTTGCACCATCTATCTGGCCCATCAAGTGTTGCTTGAGTTTCGTCTGGGAACAAAACTTTAGAGAAGTCAATCTTCATATTTTCCTCGGCTCATTTCAATCGATTTTGAATGTGATTTCTCGTCAAAGGAGACTTCGATACAGGTTTGACTGTTGTTGCTATTTCCCTCAGATACCGACACCGAGTAGTTTTAGACACAGTAGGATCCCAAATACAACTGAAAAGCTCTTGACTGGTAAGTCCAGGGTTCTTCGTGGCCTCTCGTTTAAGTCGTGACATGAGACGACGTGAAATAACCCTCGGCTTGCCTTTATATGCCCTTTTGCGTACTTGTGTAGGGTCAGCGGTGAATTTTTCACTGTTTGATGACACTTCCCAACCATTTTAAAAATTCTAGGGTAGATTTACCTTTTGAGAATTCTGAGGTAATAGTTTTCTTTTCTGCATCACTTAAACTGCTTTTACGGCCCTTCTTTTCACTAAATTCTTATACTTTTCTAATAATTTGGCACGCTCAAATCACCGTGCTGATAACAAGTATGGCGCCAGTTTGTTTACATGGCGAGGATCAGTACGAAAATTTCAGTGATTGCGCAGCTCAGTGTTGCCAACATTGTATGAAAATTTTTGCGATTGATTGGACGGTTTTTGAAATATTAGAAAAAAGTTATCTCGATAATAATTTGGCACGCAGTGTATATATATAATTCTTAT